AGAGGGGTGAGGCTAGTATTTACAGGGAAATAAAAATAGAGTACAAGGAGGTTAAATGACTTGCCCAAGGTCACACAGTCAGTTACGGACAGAATCAAAAATAGAAGCTAGGTCTGCTGACTCTCCTTCAGCTCCTACTCCAGAACATGCTTCCTGTTTGATCACGGAATCAGTATGGGTCAGATTCACACTGATCTCAGCAGAAGATTTTTGCCTGAATAACAGTCAGCTTTGAAGATGAAAAATTCTACAAAAGTTCCAAGTATGGCTGACTATTAAAAAAAGCCATTTTCCTCTTAGGTTAAAAAAAAATTACAGAAAACCTCAATAGCAAATCAAAATCTAATCCTGATCTTGCTCCTTCTTCTCTAAGCACAAGAGTTTAAGGGTCTTTTCCCTCTCTGACTTCCTCCCACTACACAATAGCTTCTCCACCAACAGATCCTATTGCCACCCCCTCTCCTCAAATATATATTACTTCTCAGCAGGCTCCAGCAGGAGTAGACAAGGAGTCAATCTGTGAGGGAGTGAACACAAGATCTCCCATAATAGCACAGAGAAGACATAAAATTGCTGCCAAAAGTGTAAATTGCTTTTTTGCTTAGAAAAAAAAAATATTCTGGACTTCAAAGACACCCTCTTTTTTTTTTAAACGGAGTCTCACTCTGTTGCCAAGCTGGAGTGCAGTGGAGTTCACTGCAACCTCCCACTCCCTGGTTCAAGCAATTCTCCTGCCTCAGCCTCTTGAGTAGCTGAAATTACAGGCAAGTGCCACCACGCCAAGCTAATTTTTGTATTTTTAGTAGAGACAGGGTTTCACCATGTTGGCCAGGATGGACTTGATCTCCTGACCTCATGATCTTCCTGCCTCGGCCTCCCAAAGTCAAAGATACCCTCTTAAACTCCACAGTAGTTAATACACATGTCCTACATATTAGGACTTTTGCTTCTCCATGCCCTCCAAGCATTCTTGCCAGCTGTATGACTGTGTATCATGGACTCGAGGAGTAATCTGCCAGACTGAGAGGCAACAGGTAGCTATTCTGCGGAGTCAAAAGAAAGCTCGGTCAGCTGCTCCCCAGGGAGCACCCCTTTTTCTGCTAACCCTCAGAGGATACTGCATGAGAATGAGACAAAGACATTCCCTTTATAATGACAGAGTCTGAGAGGGGAAGCAACTTGCAGAAAACAGAGGTCACAGCAATTCAATGTCAAAGCAATTAAAGAACTCCCAGGTTAGAGGAACAAGACCAAAGTGACGTTTTGAGGGCTGTGTGTGAATCCTCTTGGCTTTTGTATAGGGTCACAGAGAGAAGCATGCTGGCATTTTGGAGATAGTCCAAATGGTGGCTGAGAGCACTTGGTGGTTAAGCTCTGAAGCCACATTAGATTCAAGTCATGCTCTGCCACTTACTAGCCATGTGATCTAAGGCAAGTTAATCTCTCCAAGCATTAACTTCTTCATTTGATAAGTGGGATAATAACTACATCATGGGGTTTGTATGCAGCTTATATTAGAATACATATAAAGCACTTTGGACATAATGAACTGTCAATAAATGGTAGCTATAATTATTATTGTAAATTAGCAGAATAACTTCACAATGAAATTCAGGCAAGGAACAGACATGACTAAAAGCACAACATCTGGTCCCCTCATATCAAACAGCTTGGGAAATCAAAACAGAAAAGAGGAAACAAGGCAAGACACTCCAGCTAGTAGAAAAGGAGGAAGATTCATTATAGACAAATATGTTTCCATAGGACAGGAATTTTTCTTTTTTCCTTCCACCACGGAGACTGGATGGAATCTAATACTCTCTGGACTTCTATGTATACAGTGGAGAGGTGGCTGTGCAAAAAGAATGCTAGCAATGGAGACATAGGCATAATGATCCAAGAAGAGCTGGAGCTCAGTGTCTCCAGCTTCGTTTCTCATCCATGCCTTGTGTAGGGACTCCCACACTTCCTTTCTGCCTTCCTTATACATCGAATTCTCATTTAGTACTGCCATCAATACAGAAGTATTTGGAACACAATTCTATTTGGCTTGTTGAAATGGTAAAGTATATATCATAAATGAGAAAAATTTCAGATCAAAGGCAATTTTCCCTAAAGGGCTAATCAGAATAAATTAAGCCAAATGGTAGTTCAAAACAAATAAAGTGAATGGAACCAACAAGTAGGAATTTAAAGGTTAAAAAAGAAAATTTGACGACTCCTCCGACAAATCAGAACACACACTTCAAGTACTTACTGTACCAAAAAGGGTTCTGTCAAGTCCTAGTCCAATGGACTCCCTGCTGACCTCCATAGCAGCCTGGCTTGAGGGAGACAGCCTGACATCTTGGTTGCAAGGAAGGAAACTCTATGCCTCTCAATTATCTTGTCAAAATGATACAAAGATATCTGCAATTAAACTCCAAAGCCAGTATCTCACACTGAATATCATCTTTAAGGGAGTTTATGTCTTCATATGGTCCTTGTGTTCTTCTCATCAGTGTGACTCTCGCATGTGGCTATAAAGATGAGTGTGTTCATCCTAATCCGGCTCTCCCAAGACAGAAATGTCACTGCTATCCTGTGGAGCCTACACATTACTTCTGCCAAGGTATTTTCTTTAACATGGTCTTGTTTGAACTCTTTTTGTGGGAAAGAAAGTCTAGGGCTCTGACTGGACTGGATTTTAGGGAGCTAGAACTAATCTTGAGAGAAACGGTGGAGGGCCAAGGAGAGTTTAAAGTACATCTAAACCAAAGGTCTGTGCAAAATGATGAAAACCTGACCAATAACTAGAAGATACTGATTTAGGCTCCCATCATTGCTAACCTAGTCTAAGTAGTCTCCCAGGCTCTTCCTTATTTTTCAGTCATTAAAATTTATTTTTTATTTACTTAGTTTTAGAGACTGAGTCTTATAACATTGTTCAGGCTGCTCTTAAACTCCTGGGTTCAAGTAATCTTCCCACCTCAGCCTTCTGAGTAGCTGGAATTATAGGCGCACGTCACTGTGCATGGAAGTCTCCCAGGCTCTTGATCTACCTCCAATGCATTTTCCAATGCATTTCCTACACAGGAGACACTTCTAAAATGCAAACCTATTCAGGTTAATTCCTGTTTAAAATTCTTTAATAGCTTCCCACTGCCTTCAGTGTAGTGCTCAAATGCCTTAAGAAGTCTATAAGGCCCTAAAGGATCTGGGCTCTGCTGTCTTTCTTCCCCTCTTCTTTTGTCTGGAGCTTGTATACAATTTGTTTACTCTGCCTAGAACAACCAACCCCTGCTCCTCCTTCATCTGCCTTCTCCCCTTTTCAGACCTCTGTTTATATATAACCTTTTCTGGTAAGCCTCCCCTTATCCTCCAAGACTAACTTAGGAGCCCTTCCTAAAGTAGCCTAAGCTTATCAGAACACATTCCCAACTGCATAATTACCCAGTGTTTACCCCTCCCACTAGACTTAGGATCTACAAGAGTAGGAACTATGTCTGCTTTAGTCACCATCGTATATCCCGGATGTAGCACAGTGCCACACACATAGTAGGTCACAAATATATGTTAAATGAACAAAAGGAAGGGAGTGAAGAATGAGGAAGGAAGGAAAAGAACCACAACACAGAAGAAGCCTGTTCCTGAGAATGGTTGGAAGATGGATTCTGAAGTGGTTCCCTAAAACCCTGTGGGTTTGATGCAAGGTACCTACACCTTTTAAAGTTGGGTGCCTGTGGCTTTAGCCATAGTAGACAAGGGGCTGGATAAGATCTTCTGGTGCCCGAGCAGATGTTAAAAACTATAGCTTCCAAGGGAAGAACAAACCAGGAGATGCAGATATGGGACAACATTTGACACTAAGAAAGAGGCTCAGGATACAGGAAGAAAAAGGAAAAAAGAGAGGAAACTGTTTTTGTTGGTTTGTAAAAAGCAAACACACAAACAAAACAAATCAAATCCTGCTTCCAGTAAGGTAACCTTTGACAATTCATTTAGCTTCTTTTAATGAGGGACTTGATAGTGATTTTCAAAATGAGGAACGCTAGGTCTCTGCAAAAGCTCCTTAGGGTCTACTGTGATGAAGATGGAAGGTTCACCAATGAATGCTGCCCCAACTTTAGCCAGAGGAAAATTGCTTTTTACACATTGAGGTCCTGCTTAAAGTCCACTTGAAAAAAAGGGTGCTTCTGCTAAAAATAAAGTTTGAATAGCAGTGGCCTGGATGACCATTCTGATACTTCCCAGCCTTAACAACCTTTATTCTATGTGACAGATGGGACCCATCTGGACATTGCCTTTTACTTTGTACAAATATTCCTCAATTGTGTTGATGACACTGCTGTAGCTTTTCCCAAAGTCTGTTTTCACTGCTTGAGGAGAATGACAGGAAGGGTGGGTAAACCACAGTCCAGGTTAACTGCCAGGCTGAGACCATAATAAAATGCACCTTTAAACTGTATTCTACTGTGGCAATACAGAAGCACAAAGGAACATTTTTTTTCCTATTTGTATACCTGTATCCTAGGATTCATTATAAGGTGTCTTGGGTCAGATACAAAGATATTATAGATCAGAAATAAAGAATACTAGACCTAGAGCCCATTTAAAAAAATCAATCCAATTCCAATCAAGAAAGAACAATACAAAAATTTATCTAGTCAGTTTACCTGATACCATTACCATTATCATAATGATACTACATTACCATTTAAATGTAGTACCTATTCTTCTTAACAAGGTATTCTGAATGTACAAAAGAATACAGCAAAGTTACTGTCATTATATATGCTAAAGTCTACCTTTATCTTAAGGTTACAGGCAGGAAACGACATAGATGAGAGGGAGATGGGAGTCTTACAAAATAAGATAGATCTTCAAATCCCGGGCTTAAGATAGAGATCCCTTTTCTGTGCTGTTCCTTGATTGTCCATATTTCATGGAGTACTAAAAGGCCACAAACGTCACTCTACTTCAATTATAAGAAAAGACAAGCAACAATAATGTGATCTTACCTGGGTCCTTCCTCATCGCCCTGAAAGACAAACAGAAAGAAACAGTATTAGAAATCTTTGTTGGTACAGTTACATTTCTTTCTTTTCCCTCTCCTCTCCCAACTTGAATGCACAGACTATATATTTATTGTAACAGAGACAAACCAACAGACATCTAAGGGCTAAGACAAGAGCTAATATAATCCTGTGTTCAAACTGCTCAGTGGAGATGAACTGATAATTTGCCCCAGGAAGCAGAGCAGAGAAGTGAATGCACAGACCTAGGAGGCCTAAATAAAAGCCTTGCCTTTTGATTTGTATGGCTGGCAGTATTTAGTTCTCAGCAAACTGAGAACCCCAAAATAGAGGTAGGTCTTAGGCAAAAGCTAGCCAGTCCGAAAAGTGTCAAGCTGTTTCCTTCAAAGACTCATTTCTGCCTTGTTCTAGCATTTTTCGTCAAATATGAACACAGCAACTCTAAAGTAAAGAACACTGTGGTGTAAAGGGCACTGAACTGGGACTCAGGAAATTGGGGTTCCCGTCTAACTTCTGTTACTTATTAGTTATGTATCCTTGGGCAACATTAATTAATCTGGATTTTGGTCTTCTCCTCTGTAAGAGGGTAGTTCTGACATTTGATGATCCACATCATTCTTCAGCCAAACAATGGCTCTTCTTTTTCTTGTCCACTTTTCAAAAACAGTGTGTGAACATTGTTTTTCCAGGTATAGCATTCTCTCAACCTAACTTTATCAGAAGTGAACACAGCAGATTCCTTTGAGCTTCCTTCTGTGATCAAATGAGATTTTTCAAATAACTTTCAAGCCTTTCCCAAGGGACCTCACTCACCTTTTGGTGTCAGCATATCTTTTATATCCTTCTTTTTGGCCATTCAGGGATAGTCCTAATAGAGAATGTACATTCTGGTTGTACTCCTTAGAGAATGAATGAATGAATCAATGAACGGTTCCTACTGGTATAAGGCAGAATGAGCTCTCAAGTCAGGTGTTCTGGGTTCAAGTCTTGACCCCATCCCTTTACTGATGTATTAGCCTACTCATAGTATTTTGCCTTTGTTAACTTCAATTTCCTAATTTGTAAAATGGGGTAATAATTGTCTCTGTATCACAGGATAAGTATGAGGATTAAATGAAATTATGCTTATAACCATCAAACACAGTGCCCGTGACACAGGATGCATTTAACAAAGGTTATTTATCAGTATCAGTAACAATTCATATAATTCATTAAGAAGCTACTATATATATGCTAACTAAGGGAAAAAAAATCACCTGTAATGATCTAACCTTCTAGGATCTTCCAGTCAGGAGCACAAGAAACAGGCAGAAAGAAAACGAACTATTACTAAATGTATTAAGGATAATACCAAAGACATAAACAGAATAATATGATAATCAGCAGGGAAGTTATAAATGCTGTCTCTCCTGGAGAACGTGGGAAAAGCTTCACACAGAGAAGGTAACATTGATATTGCCACTTTTAGGGATAAATAGTATTTTCCCAGACTGACAACAGAGAAAAGTGGGAAGAGCACGGAACTAGTAAGAGCAAAGGCAAGTGTTCAAAAATGTCTTGTTCAAGGAACTTTGAGTTCTGTGAACTAGAGAAACTCTAGTTTCTGTGAAACTAGAGAATGGGGATGTGCACATGGATGTTTTGGGCAGGGCACAGAAGGTGGTATAGCGTTGGAACTGAGGGAAAGTGGGGTTGAGCATGACTGAGGTAAAGGGAGACTGCCAGGGTACAAGCCTGTCAAGTACAGCTACAGTCAGAAAGGTGATTTAAATCAGACTAGCCATTTAAGGCTGAATAAGAAGGGCATTTTTAGCAGACTGTTAAGGATCTGCAATAGTGGGAAGGGCGCTAATTATCCACATTCCAACTAGAGGGAAGTAGGGTGAGTGGCAGAGGGACGATATACGGATGATGGAAGCTTTCTTTGCATTTTTATCATATGGCATGACTCATGGGAACTATAATATACCAAGAAAAAAGTTATATAATTTAAGGTTAATATGAGTTACATAACTATGAATGACACAATTAAATCTCAACACAAATTTTTCAATTATTTTTGGATGTTTAAGCCTAATTGCCTAAGAGAAATTTATGGAAAAAATACCTAAACTTTCTCCCATTATTTAGAGCAAGTCCTCCTCAAAATCACATACTTTCGTGTAATGATTAATAGACAGGGGGTTTCTGAGTTATAATATACAAACATGGTCTCAGATTCTGGTTCATTAATCCCAACAGTGAAGCTTTTGGCAATTTACTTTTCCAAGGTTCAGTTTCTCCATCTGCACATGAAGATCCTAGTTTTTACCTCAAAGGGTCACCATATGGATTAAAATAAATGAGAAAATCTGTGTAAAACACTAAGCAAATGACTAGTACCTTGTATTCGTTCAATAATGGCAGCCATTATTTTACTTTCCTTGAATTGTTAGTAACATTTCTAGGGGAGAGCAGGGAAGGACAGAAAAGATGGGACACAAGGTTTTGCTCTATGTTCGTCCAATTCTATTGCTTATACATGTATGCTTCTTTTCAGAAACAATGGTCACTGTTACAAAGCAAGAAAACACACACACATATGAATTATAAGTTGGCCCAGAGAGGAGGGCTAATCTTGCTAGTACAAGATGTGCATGTGCTGTTCCTGTTACCTGAAATGCACATCCCTATTCCAAAAATCTAGCTAATTACTATCTATCCTTTAAGATCAAGCCTTACTCAGAAACTTCTTCACTAACATCTTGGGTAAGTTAATGCTCCTCCTTTCCCCCACATCTGAAGGGTTTGCCACTCTACACTAGTACTTAAAGAAGAAAACTGACAATGACAACATCACACAATGCGTCCCTCTTTGGATTTCAACTTCTTAAGAACAGAAACTTGTGCTTCGTTCATTTCTGTATTTACTGCACTTAACAGAGCACAAGTAATTATTTCACAGTAAATAATTACTCAAGATATACATAGGGTTTAAGATTAACTTCTACTCCTATTACAAGTGAATTCTGGTTTCAGAGAATATCAGAAGAAACAGTCTATTAAATACCAACTTCCATTTAAATGACTTGTTAGATTAAGCAGTGCTCCCAAATCCTTAATAAAGATATTATGAATGCTCTTGGTTGGCAGACTGCACTCTTGTGCAACTTCCCATTTCTACCTCCACCAGTGGAAATGTTGTCCACTAAGAATCAAACAGGGCTGTTTATATGAACTTGTAATGATGACACATTTAACTAAATAACAAAAAGTGAGTGCAAGAGAGATAACTTGTTCACATAAAAACCAAGTTGAATGCATCCACAGTATTTAATAAAGATGAATTACTTAAAAATTGCTGTCAATTTTGACATAAGTGAAACACACGCAAAATACTAGAAAAATAAGTTATAAGAACTAAGATTGTGCATTCAGCTTGCTTTGAATGGTATCACCCTCACTACAGAGAGTCTGCAATTGGACTTTATAAATGGTGCAAATTTGGGTGTGGTTTATGCCAGAAACATGACATTTAACTCTAATTAGCAAACCCATACTTTCAAAGACCTTGCCTCTGAATAAAAAAAAAAGTACAAATATATGTTTTAAGTTTAAAATAAATGGTCATCATATGCATGTATCATTTTTAATGGTTTATCCATCTGAACATATTTTTTCCAATATTATATCATTGCAATTCAGTATTCTCCTTTCCAAACTGAACAAAAGACAAAAATGCTCACTACACACTATTTTTAAATAGTTAGCTTTAAAGTTTTATAAAATGATGTAACTAAATTCGGCAAAAAAGAGTAAGAAAAAAAAATAAAGGAGAAGGGAATACTTCTCATTTTGTTTCATGAGAAACCCTAATACTCAAACCTGACAATGGCATTATAAAAATATACAGACCAATATTCCTCATGAACAAAGACACAAAACTCCTGAACAAAATATAAGCAAACTGAACCCAGATAATACATCATGGCCAAATGGGGGTTTATCTCAGAAACGCAAGGTTCGTTTAATATTGTAAAATGAATCAACATGATTAACCATTACAACAGAATAATGAAAAAAAAATGCTTATGATCATTTAAAGAGATGCAGAAGAAATATCTCACAAAAGTCAACATCAATTTGTATAAAAGCCCTCAGCACATTAGGAACAGAAAGGCGCTTCCTCAACCTGATAAAAGGCATCTACAAAAAAACATCATACTTAATAGTAATATATTGAATGCCTTCCTTCTAAGATTAGGAACAAGGCAAGGATGTCCACTTTTACCGTTTATGTTAGACATTGCGCTGGAGGTTCTAGCCACTGCAATAAGACAAGACAAAGAAATGAAAAGCATAAAGATTAGAAACAAAGAAGTAAAGCTGTCTCTATTTGTAGATGGCATAATTGCTGATATAGAAAATCCTAAAAAATCTATAAAGCCACTATTATAACTAATAGGTGAATCTGACAAGGTTACAAGATATAAGGTTAATATTTAAAACCAATTATATTTTTATATATTAACATAAAATGAAAAATAAATTTAAAAACAATTCTATTTTCAATAGTTTTGAAAATATTATTAAATAACTGGAAAAAATTTAACAAAAGCCATTAAGACCTTTAAATGGAAACCATGAACCATTTCTGAGAGTATGTAAAAACAGACTTATAAATGGAGACACATGTTCATTCATGCCTAATGTGTCATTTCTCTTTAGCTTCTCTGCTTTCAAGATTTCTTTTCTTTACCATAAGTTTTCAGAAGTTTGACTCTGATGCGTCTGGGTATGGATTTCTTTAACTTGTTTGGGTTCATTCTGCTTCTTAAATCTGTAGGTTTGTCTTTCAGCCAAATTTTAGACATTTTAAGACACTATTACTTCAAACTTTTTTTTCAGCTCCACATTCTTTTCCACCTTATTAGACACTGGTGACCTGTAGCTTTCATCATTGTCCTAAAAGTCCCTAAAGCTCAGTTCGATTATTTTTCCATGTGTTTTTTTAATTGTTGTTTAGATTGGATCAGTATCAGTCTATCTTCAAATTCACCAAATATTTCCTTCAATTTGCCATTGAGCTCATCCAGTGAATTTTTGGTGCTGGTAAGGGTATCTTTCGGTTCTAAAATTTTCATTTGGTACTTTTTAATATCTTTATTTCTTTATTGAGATTTTCATTTATTTCCAGAGTACTTATAATTGCTCACCGAAACATTCTTATAATAGCAGGTTTAAAATCTTTGATAATTCCAACATCTATACCAACTTAGAGTTGGCATATATCAATTCTCTTTTCTTCTTAGAATTGAGAGATTTTCATTTATTTTATTTTTTGAGACAGGATCTTGCTCTGTAACCCATACTGGAGTACAGTGGTGTGAACACAGATTGCTGCAGCCTCGACCTCCTGGGTTAAAACGATCCTCTTGCCTTGGCCTTCCAGAATTGAGGTTTTTATTGGTTCTTTGGTCTATATCCTGGACATGTTGAGTTATATTATAAAAATCTAGTTCCCATTTAAATCTTCTATTTTATAGCAGTCAACCTGTTTAGATTCAAAAGGCATGTCCTGGATCACTTTTTTGAACTATGGTTCACATGTCACCTTAAGTTTATAAAGCCTCTACAGTGCTATTCTTGTCTGCCCCACTCAGATGACAGGACTCCATTCTACATTCTCCACAGAGCTAGTTGCGGAGGAAGAGGGGAACCAACTCATTACTACAGGGCAGGAGAAAAATATAAAATTCCAATAACTGACTCAGCTGGGCAAGTCAATAGCCTAGTTAATGCAGGGGTGAGAGGGAGGAGTTAGAGCCCTATCTACAGTCTCCAAAACGAAGAGGTACAACTTCCTCTGTACTATTACTGCAAAGTAGGGCAGAAGTCAGAGTTCTACCTACAGATGCACGAGAGATGAGTACCACTCATTACTGAGAGAATCAGGGCCAAAGGTAGAAGTCAGAGTTTCACCCACAAGCTCCATAGAGAAATACACCTCATTACCACAGGAAGTATATAAAATAAGTGAGTTTCACTCACTGGCTCCACTACTGCAGTGCCAATTGAGCTTGAGGAGCAGTGCCACTTTTTTTCATGATGTTTGCCTCTAGAAGCAGGCTTTTCTTTTTTTTTCTTTTTTGTCTGTGTGTATTAGTGTTTCCAGTTTGTAAACATCCAGGTTAGGATATATAGGAAGTAAAGAAAACAGCAGGGAATCCACTGCCTTGTATTCCCTCAAATCCCAACGTCCTGGATCAGTATGCCATTTTTTCCTGCACCTTCAAGAGTCTTTTGGTAGATGATTTCAGTATTTTTGCCTAGAGGTTCTACTGTAATAAGTGAAAGGAGTAAAACTGAGTATGTTTACTCCATCTTGCTCAGAACCAGAAGTTGCAATTTGCTTTAAATATGCCAAAAATAAAATGGATTTACTGGAAAGGTGGCTAGTTAAATAATGAAACAAGTATGGCAAAGTGTTAATAGGAGAATCTAGGTGGTAGGTACATAGGTATAATCTGTAAAATCCTTTCAACTTTGCTGTATGTTTAAAATTTTTTTATAATAAAATGTTGGGGGTGGTCTTTTAGCTGAATTCAAAATGCAGGTGATTTTTGATAAATTCTATACCATGCAAAGAACAGAATTCCTCTGCTGAGTGAACGACAGGTACTGGATATTTGCTCTCACCAATAAGTTACCAGATTAACAGAACAAGAGGCTATTAAATGATAACAGCTCTCTATAAACACTCTAGTGGCTGAACGCTACCCTCTGTTTGTAATAGCTTATTTTGTCTGCAGCCTGATCCTTAATCCTTGTCAGCTCTTGCATCCTTCTAAGAGTAATTCCAACACAGTTAACAAGCATAGTACAGTTGAGGTGCTTAAAGAACAGTTCATATTGGAGAAGGACTAAATTCATAGATTAAAATGAAAATAAAAGAGAAAAATAAACCTCAAAATTAAACTTTTTTTTTTTTTTTTTTTTTTGAGATGGAGTGTCACTCTGTTACCCAGGCTGGGGTGCAGTGGCTACAATCTTGGCTCACTGCAACCTCCGCCTCCTGGGTTCAAGCGATTCTCCTGCCTCAACCTTCCGAGTAGCTGGGACTACAGGTGCTTGCCACCACACCCAGCTAATTTTTGTATTTTTAGTACAGACAGGGTTTCACCACGTTGGCCAGGGCAGTCTCAAACTCCTGACCTCCGGTGATCCACCCACGTTGGCCTCCCAAAGTGCTGGGATTACATGCATAAGCCACCATGCTCAGCCAAAATTAAACTTTTATTTTTCAAGAAACAACCTAATCAATATACAGAATAAATGAAGGGGTCAAACTGAATGGGAATTGTGGACAAAGTTATGCTGTTGATCCCTTGAATTAACTCTGGTTGATCCTTTTGTTTATTAAGACACAAACTGCATTGTAAAGGTATGCAAAGCTGTCTAGAACATGGATTCTTCTCATTTTTCCCACACATACAGATGGGATGCTTAGCATATGTCATAGAGTAAGGGGGAAAGCACAGGCACTGGAATAGGACAGACTTCAATCTAAACCCTGGCTCTATTTTCCACTAACTAAATGACACTGGGTCAGTATCTCTGCAGTTCTCTGCATCTTAAATATCCCATTTGTAAAATGGAGTTAATGAATGCTGACATAAGGATTAAATGAAATGATGAATATAAAATGCTCTCTCGCCTATCTAGAAACTTATTTAGGCACATAATTTCTCAATTATGGAGAGAACAAAATGAAAAGTTACTCTTTTCATACATTGATGAAAATTAATCAAAAGCCTTAGCTGGGTACAGCAGATACCTTTCAATGGTTTCTTACATTTCCTGTCAGAATAGCTAGGAAATACCTGCCTCCTGGATTACTTTGGCTCTTCTACCGGCCAGTTTATTCTGTGGCCAGGCTCTCTCAAGCCAAGGCAGGACTTCAGTTAAGCCTGCACTTGCTGAGTCAGCAACAACCCTAGAAAGTCCACAGGACTCTCCTAGGATTTCTTCTAGAAGGACCTACCTTAAACCTATCTGGCATTACTTGACTAGAATTGTCAACATAATGCTATGAAATCTGAAGAACAGTAGCCTCTCTCTCATGGCTGAAATTTAAGTTTTTTGTTTTTTTGGTTTTTTTAAGACAGAATCTCGTTCTGTCACACAGGCTGGAGTACAACAGCACAATCACAGCTCACTGTGGCCTCAACCTCCGAAGCTCAAGTAATCTTCCTACCTCAGCCTCCTGAGTAACTGGGACTACAGGCAGGTGACATCATGCTGGCTAATTTTTAATTTTAATTTTATTTTGTAGACACAGTCTCACTATATTGCCCAGGCTGGTCTCAAACTCCTGGGCTCAAGCAATCCTTCCACTCCAGCCTACCAAAGTGTTGGGATTACAGGCATTAGCCACTAAGCCCAGCTTTTTTTTTAAATGGTTATCTTAAATAATTTTTTCAAAGTACATTCAAAATGCCTAAGTATGTTGTTTAGTAAAATGCCTAAGACCCTTTTATTTCTGTTACAAAATAACAATGAATATGACAACTAACATTTGTATAGTGATTCAGCATTTACCTTGTATCTTTCACTCTTTTTTTTTTAATCTTACAATGCCCTAGTGGACATGCCGCTCTTAATCCAGCAGTTATGCCCCCAATTTATTCAGCTGGCTGCATGTAACAACCAGCTTGAGACACTCTTTCACTACATGCAAAGTAAGTCCAACATTTTTCATTCTGGCCTGCTTTATGCTCTACTTCATGATTTGTTCTTACTCAGCCCAAGTCGTTCATTTCACAACTTAGGGTCTATCGCTTGTCCTCTTCTCTGGCTGTGATTTTTGGCTTACTTCCTTAATTGTGATTAGTATCTGCTCCCACTGACTATGCTCCTTAAAGTAATGATGGATAAATAATTTGCTAGGCCCAGCCACTGAATGCACCAGTGGCCAATACTTCCATACTAGTTTACACATCATGTAAAACACTTATACCCTACCTAGCTTTCAATTCATTCATGTTCAGGGACCACATGGGGTCTAACAAATACGGCATCAGTTTCCTCCTATTTCTCTTGCTACTAGTAATTATGGGCTTTTCCTTTACCTCTGCCTTTGGCTCAGCTGATTCATTAGAGGTATCAAGTTGTTCCTTGGCTTGGGCCATCTGAGTCATCAACCTATCCATGTGGGATTGGATGTCTGCCAGTATCTCAGTCACATGAGCTGTGGCCATTGCCTCCTGGATGTCCACTAGATGAAGGGCCTTCTGCTCCTCATCGGCAATCACTTTCTGAACTTTCTTAAATTCCTGCTGTATAAACATCTTCATTTGGTCCCGAGTCACCTATAGAACAGACACAAATAAAAAGAATAAGTTGAACATACAAAGAAACAAAAGGGCAGAGTCAGTACTACACAGCCCTGGCCAAAATACACATCATGGATCCTATCTGACCCTGAAGTTTTGGGAATATCCTAAAAACAATGTTCCCCTAATATCTTTGATGCATTTCCTGCTAATCTTTTTGCTTTTTTCATTCTTCAGGGAGTATTTTCTTATCCTTTTTTCCTTTTGGTTTTGTTCACTTTTATGCCAGTAATATATACAATGAGTACATATGGTAAAAAATGAGGCAGGGTGCAGTGGCTCACACTTGTAATCCTAGCACTTTGGGAGGCCGAAGTGGGTGGATCACTCGAGGTCAGGAGTTTGAAACCAACCTGGCCAACATGGTGAAAACCCGTCTCAACTAAAAATACAAAATATTAGCCGGGCATGGTGGCAGGTACCTGTGTTCCCAGCTACTTGGAAGGTTGAGGCAGGAGAATTGCTTGAATCCAGAAGGCAGAGGTTGCAGTAAGCCAAGATTGCACCACTGCACTATAACCTAGATGACAGAGCAAGTCTCTGTATATAGACAACTAAGTAGTTTTATATAAATGGATCATAGTGAAAATATGGTTGTCGTCTTGCTTTTCTACTTAGAATATGTTTGTGCACACAGATCAACTTCATTCTATTATTTTTACTATCTGTATGATACGGAGATGGAGGGTGAGAGAGAGAGAGAGAGAGAGTGTGTGTGTGTGTGTCTATCTCCTATCCAATCATTCCTCTCTTAATGGAAATACAGGATATTTCCAAATTTTTGTTATTATAAACAACATAGCTATAAACATCCTTGGCTCTCTCTCTTAATATTTGCATATTAGTTTCTTTAAAGATGTTTAGAGCCACTTAGTCAACAGACATATACTCTAAAAATATTAGTTCACACTGCCAAGGTGCCTTCTGGAAAAGATGTATTCATTACATTCCTACAACAATGTATGAACGTAAGTACTTTCCTACACCCTTGCCAATACTGGATAATATCAAGCTTTTAAATTTTTACTATAATGGATAAACACATATTATTATTTTATTTTATAACAACTGCAAACCAAAGAAAATACAACTGCTAGCTATATTTATGCTTAGGGCGTAAGAAAGGCTAACAAAGTGAGAAATTTCAAAATGAGAACTTCTAAGCTCCAAATTTTACCAGGAACTGCATTTATTGATGTTTCTTCACAACCATGTTTATTTTATGAGGATTTTAAAACAACTACACACATTATGAGCAGCTGAGATAGGCAGCAGGGAAGAAGGAAACTGTAGACAAAAGGAGAAAGGCAGAAGAAAGGCCAACAGAGGATTTTAGAACTGGAAGAGAAAGTAGTTGTCATCTAAATGAACCCCTTCTTTTTACACATCAGGAAACGGACACAGTTGCAGACCCATAGAAGAGGGAAAGACTCCAATCTTGTTCTCAGTCTGGTTCTCTGTTCAGTATAAAAGTCTGTCAGAAGAAAAGTCAAACTGGGAAAACTTAAGAAAGGAGACTGAGAAAGAGAAAGCCTAAAGGAGGGGGTAGCAGATTAGGCCATTTTTAATTAGCGTCTTAAAAACTGAAAGGAGCTTGATACCTTAAGCAGCTTTTATAACACTGCTAAGGACATCAGTGCAAAATAAGGCCTGTATGACTTGTACCTGCTCACACATCAAGTGACTAAGTGACACAGGCCCTCATACATTCTCCACAGGTACTCTCCCTGGTGGTGGAGAAAATGGGAAGGAGTGTTAAATGTTATTAATGTCCCTGTAAATTCTGTATCCGATTGAGAACTGTGATTTGTGTTTATGTAATTCCTTTTTATTTTTAGTGTATATATTTTAGGGCTAGTATGCTTTACAGTGATCACTGATCAATGGATCTCTACTCCTGAAATAAATTGGGTCTTAAATGACTAGGACCTTCTCTCAGAAACCAAACCTTTTCACTAAGGGATGAACTTTTCTGAATGCCTGAGAAATTCTCTTAATGGTTTCAAGTAACTAAAAATGAATATCATAATAAAAACTGACTCGCAACCTATTTTACTTGACCTCACATACACATGTGAGTTACGAAGCTGACATCTCACTTAGCAAAGGTGTGGGCCAGACAACAGCAGGTGAGAAAGTCATGGATTTAAAAATTTTCTATTTCCCATGGCTTTATTACATAGGGTTTTCAAGATGACCCTGTATTTTATATAGATCAGGTCACAAATGAAAACTGAAGAAAAAAGAATCTATTTAAAACCTTTATGCCTTCTTCCCACTCTCATTCTCTAATTAACAAATAAGCATTTTCCAATCTAAGATATCAAAACCTTTAGCATGTAAGTTTAATCAAGCTGATACATCTTTGTTACAGTTGCATTAGGGTAAAGCGCAATATGGTTAAACATAGCATTTTATTGAAATTATAACATAGCACTGCAATTTGAAAAATTTGACCACTGTATGGTCAGAACTATCTAGTGAACACCTGAATCCAACCTTCTAATTTTAAGGTGAAGGGGAAAAAAAGCCACAGAGAAGTACAATAAGAAAGTTAGGTTTAGAAAGTTTCCTCTGGTCCGGTCCAATGTAGGTGAAGGGGGAAAAAAGCCACAGAGAAATACAATAAGAAAGTTAGGTTTAGAAAGTTTCCTCTGGTCCAGTCCAATGTACTTTTATAACTCATGATTTCCAATGAGTTATAAATGAGACCCTGTTGGAAGAAAAAGAGAAGGGGAGCGAGGGGGAGAGAGAGAGAAAGGGAGGGAGAGAGAGAGAAAGGGAGAGAGAGAGAGAGAGAAGAAAAGGGAGGGAGAGTGAGAAGGGGAAGAGGAAGGGAGAAAGAGAGGAAGGTAAGGAAGGACAGAAGGAGATAGAGAAAGAGAGGAGAGAGAGATTAAAAAAATTGTTTTAGAAAGGTATTGCTGAGATGAACTAAGAATAATAGTCAGGGTTAGGAACAAGAACCTACTCAAATAAGAAGCATCCAAATCTACACTGAAGATTTCAGAAACACTTGTTCTGTCACAGGTGTCTAAACCAAAGCCACTCCATTTTGAATAGGGGCTGGGTAAAATAAGGCTGAGACCTACTGGGCTGAATTCCCAGCAGGTTAGGCATTCTAAGTCACAGGATGAGATAAGAGGTCAGCACAAGCAGGTCATAAAGACCTTGCCGATAAAGCAGGTTGCAGTCAAGAAGGTGGCCAAATCCCACTAAAACCAAAATGACGATGAGAGTGACCTCTGGTGGTCCTCACCATTACAGTCCCACCATCACTATGGCAATGTCAGGAAGTTACCCTATGCGGTCTGAAAAAAGAGAGGCATGAATAATCCACCCCTTGCTTAGCATATGATCAAGAAATAACCATAAAAATAGGCAACCAGCAACACTTGGGGCTGCTCTGCCTATGGAGTAGCCATTCTTTCATTCCTTGACTTTCTTAATAAACTTGCTTTCATTTTACTCTGTGGACTCGCCCTGAATTATTTCATGAGCAAGATCCAAGAACCTTCTCTGGGGTGTGGATTGAGACCCCTTTCCAGTAACAGGCCTATAAGTCAAATTTCTGCAAGATGTTAAGGAGACTACTCCAAAACTAACTTTAAAAACTGTAGACTGCATAAAACAGAGTTTGAAGACTCTAAATACCTCCCCAGAAAGTATTTTCACTTCCCTCTTCCTCATTTGAAAGACTATTATTCTAAAACAGAAAAAAGAGAAAGCAGGAAACGGAATTTTTTCAGATGGTATGAGCTGTCCATACTCCCACAGTGCAGCATCCTCCCCTCTTGCCAGTGTCTATGGAAACTTCAAGTTGGGAAGTTCATAGCTAAGGCTTCTGTTTAGCCTCCAGCATTTATTCCTACATTGTACTCCAAGAGAGCTCCTTCCAAGCTTAGGCCAGGCTCCAGTGAGGGCAGGCAAGGGAAAACTTCATCAACAAGGAGATCAAGGCTTTTTCAATGGACAGTAAGATCTCCCATTTCTTATGTCTTGTGTATGGGTGGAATAGCCACTATTTGTGAGTAAAACAACTGCCAACCCACGAGGCTTAGAAAATTATTCAGCAGCATAGAAACATGATGGACATAAACTCTGAACAGCATTCCACTACCAACATTCCCAGTGATGTCATCCTCAGTGACCGAATGAGAAGCCTGACTTGAGCAGATTTTACAATGGGGTGTTGAGAGTGAAAGAAAAAAAGTTTACTGAAGTGAACATTTAAACTCTTCATTAAGCTATCTTTCTTATCTTTTTCAGAAGCCTCCAGTCAAAAGCAGTCATTTGTATCTTCACTTCCTTTCATCACCTCCACTTTGTTAACAGGGCACCATTGGATCTCTATCTACTTAATGAAACAATATAATGATATTTACTATTGCGGTTGTTATCGTTATGATTTTCATTATAAAAGATCAGAATAAATACCAAAATGTTGGAGAGTGATTATCTGTGAATGGTGGAATTACAAGTACTTTTCTCTTTTTTACTTCTCAGTCCAAATTTCCTAAAATAACATGTAACACTTTTTAAAAACTATTTTTAAAAAGAAATGTGGTTTAAAGAAAAAAATCCTCAACAAAATACTAGCAAGTCAAATCTATCCATATAATCTGACCATGTATATAAAAAGAATTATAGGCCAAATGACAAAAATGAGGGATATATATTAAGTATTCAAGCCTGGTTCAACATTTGAGAAATTAGCTAATATATCTGAAATAAAAGGTATACAGATTAGTAATGAAGAAATAAAACTATCTTTGCAGATAAGATTGTCTATGTAGAAAATCTGAAAGAGTTCACAAAAATTGAAAAAAGAAAAGAAAAAAAACCTCCTAGAACCAATAAGCAACTATAGCAAGACTACAGGATAGAAGACTGATATATAGAAGTCAGTCACATCGCCTTCCTATATACCAGCAGTGAACAAGTGGGATTTTAAGTTAAAAAGATAATACCATTTA